ATATATATATATATATATATATATATATATATATATTTTTTACTCTTTATTTTTATTATTATTATTATTTTTTTTTTTTTGACAAAAAGGGCACATCAGTTCCGGTGCTTGTCCAAAATTTCTGTGGTTATGATACTCAAACTAAGATTTTGATAAAATTGGACCTTCGAATATAGTAGTTCGTCTCTAAACTTTAAGTGTTTATGTATGATTGATTGAGAGTTTAATTTTTATCGACTTTTTGAAAAAAATATCTTTCATCCCCAAATTCTTCATTGTTTAAAAAAAAAAAAAACCCAAAGTTTTGATAGTTAAAAGAAATACTAACAGGACTAAACATCTATTAATTTTAATTTTAGCTCCTGTTATTTTGATTCTTTGAAACAGAAGAGGATAAGAGAGACTGAAGAGCAAAGTATGCCGGTTGTGATGCCCGGAGATAGGGTTCCGAAGTTCATAGCAATAGCTTGTCCATCTGAGTCGCCGGTTGTCAGAAAACTTACCGTAATCAGGGCGGAAGCCAAGCCATCAACTTTGCCGGTTGTGACAGTGCCAGTGCCGCTGTAGTTATAAATTTTAAATGATGATTCCTTGCGGCCACCATAAAAAAGTTGTACGTGAAACTAATTAGTATTTGTAATGTGCATCGAGTAAATATCTAAAATTGCTTTGGTTTAGTCACTGAAATTTTTTATGCATCAGCAGATAACATTGGATAACCAAAAAACTCAAAAGTCTAATAAAGTTTTTCGGAAAGTTTAAACATGTTTCCAAAAAAAAAAAATTCCTTCTGCTTCTTCAATTCAGTAGGCCCATATCAATGGATCCAACCCAAAGAGCCCTTACTTTTCTTTTTGATGGGCTTGGAGCTCAAACTGAAGTAGAAAGTAGTCAGTGAGCAGTCCAAGCCCAACCATGACATACCCATCAAGGATCTGCTCGAGAAAATCGGCACTCCCCCTTCCACCATACTCTTTTTTTGTTCTTTTTTTTTTTTTAGCAAATCAAATATCAAACCAAATTATAATTTCATTGATTATATCAAGGTTGTATGCACCGTTAACTCGTGCTTTTAGGTACAAATTAGAAAAATTAATACTAAATTACCATGTATTTTACATAAAACATGTACCCCATAATTCCAAAAAGGGTATCAATGAAATTAATGATATGTCCAAATTCCAAAGAAGTTAATGTATAGCTTCTAGCTCAGTTCTTGTAATATCTTTCATTTTCGAGAAACAGATATCAATATAATTTTGAAAGTGGTAGTTCTGAGGAAAACAACATCTAATTAATTCGCCCGTGAGCAGAGATGAATTGTTCTTTACAACAAAGACTACCATGAGTCAGACCACTTGGTTTATAGACAAACTCTACAGTCCGACATGTCACATTCTACCTATCTTTGGCTCTTAGAACATAAAAACAAAACCA